TTTTTTTTTCTTTTCCGTTCTCTTTCTTTGATACTTGTCCTTTCGTGTGTTTGGTTCGCTTCGTTGATTTATATGCTTTGAGTTGATTGACGCGTGCGTGTTGATTGACGCATGCGAGCTGATTGGCGCGCGCGAGCTGACTGTCAAGCGCGCAGGTCACTTGATTCGCCGTTTTGCTTCAGGCGCTTGTCGGCGTCAGATAATCCTCTTAGACTCGGATAACAATGTCCGTCGTCTTCTCTCTGTCTCGAGCTGTGTGTGGATACCTATAGGCATTTTTAGACGCCTACAGAAAGTATATTCACAAAAACGTGTGACAAACTAGTTTACAATGTCTGAACAACATAAAAGCATCCAATTGAGTATCCTCAAAGAGCTGTGTGTGACAAACTAGTTTACAATGTCTGAACAACATAAAAGCATCCAATTGAGTATCCTCAAAGAGCTGTGATAAATTAATGATATGATTTCACCCATAACTGAATGATTTACAGAGCTTGAGCTATAAAAGAATGTACAATTGAACGTGTACACATTCATCAAAAGAAAAATTGAACACGTACATACAACTATCCTCACAGAACTTTGTGAGAAAGGGATGGAAACCATTACATTTATAATTGAATGATTTATAGAGCTTGAACAATGCCATTCTGTACAACTGAACACATATTGAGCTCATTTTAGCTACTGCAGCCATAACTTTTAATAACAGCAGCGCTGAAAATAATCCACTAAAGTTCAGATCCATTCATAATAATTTCATGGTATCTGCGGTAACAACTTCAATCTCCCTACAAAATCTCAAACTTGTCTTTGCCTCTTGGTTTCCAACTCTATTCTAGCTTCCAACTCTCTTTGAATCCAAGATTCTTCACTTGAATCGTCCAAAGCTTGTATACACTTGTTATTAACTTCTGTTTTCCTCTTTCGCGTCTTCATCAATGCTTTGATTCCGTCCACGTTGATCTTATTAAGGACATGCTCCCCTCTACAATCCTCAACAACACCATCCGGGCTTTCAGAATTTCTCAGCTCGCATTGAGCTTCCCTATTTTTCTTCAATTCTACGAGTCTTGCTGAGCTAGCTTCCTCACTAAACTCATGACTAGGGCTTCTACTTGAAGACCCATCTCTGCTCAATACACAAGACTCTGGGCTGCTTGATGGCTCCTCTGCCTTCTCCGCAGACGCAATTGGAGGTTGGATTACCTTTGGCTTCTCGAGTGCAGGAGATACCAAAGGTCTTTTCTTGTAACCTAATAACTCCATCATTTGTTAAAGTATCTCTACAATTTGTAATAGAATACCCACTTAAGTAAATGTAAGATAGTGTCTATGCATTCGCAAACTAGTAAAGATGGTAAAAGTTATTTTACCATCTAACTGTTTTGGCATGATTTCCAACAATTACCACCAAATGCAACCATCCCATGTTGGAAGTTTCATATTGTGATGCTTAGCAGCAAGATAAAGAGACCCGACTGCAATGTAACTGGGTTCATATTGCAAGCAGAGTGTGGTTCGAAGCCTGTAAGGAATTTCAAAAATATATTAGCGCTTTGTGATGTATATCGTTAGTCAAAGGTATTTTATCGTCCTTGCATGTTACTTTGATATTTGGAATGAACGGAATGCAAAAGTATTTTGAAAAGATAAAAACACTCTTCATATCCTGATTGATGATCATCTTCCTTTAGTAAGACAACACCGCCTTACACCGAAATAGGTGCTTGACTCGAAGCAACGCAGCAGCTTGATGTAGAAAGTGATATTAGTCTTTTTTGTATTCTAATCTTTACTCATCTCCTTCTGCACTTCTTCTCTGTCTTCCTCTGCATGTATATATATTTTGGATCTATTTTCTCTAATTAATAAATCTCCTGGGCATTTTGCCCCGGTTCTCAAAAATATCATCAGAGAACATAACTCGATGAAATCTGAATTGGTTTGTAAGTTTATATGTTTCTTTAGAACAACAGACAGTTAATTGCATGACAATGCAGTAACAAGTTTAACGTGACACACATTAGTGCATAACATATATGATTCCTTACCTGCCATTCATTCCTTCTGTGAGACTGATGGAGATAAAAGCGATGGCATAACATCATTGTTGTTGCAATAGTGACCTGAGGTCTGCAAGATAAGAGAATAATCCAACATTCTTATTAGGAATGAGAAATGGCGTAGGCTGTTGGCAACAAGAAAAACTGCATAATATTGAAAAGATTAAAGGAAGTATGCAAAATCAAACAGGAAAAAAAATCTGGAAATTCCCTTAAGTAATCAATTCACACTTCTCTGTATCTGTTTATACATGTCAAACCAATTCTGTGTGTTGTAACTTGCATCTAATATGAGTCTCTCAACTACATAATAATATAAACTGAATCACCAGGAGTTTTCTCCATTGTTTTTGGAGTATAATATTCACTTCTAGGCTGTAATTTCTTAGGCAGAAACATGATATGATGCAGATCACAGGTGCAAGGTTTACACACGATTGTCCTTAAAAGATCATTTGATAGTTGGTGAAGTATGCTTCTAAAAATTATTAGTCTCTTTGATATCAACTACACAGAAGTAAAGATGCAACAGAATTTATGACTAAAGATCTATATCAGTTTATATGATATGGCAACTGATTAACATCAAATTCTGAATGATCTAGTTGTCTGCTCCAGTAGATATTTGGCATGATCGGTGATGTTTTCTTCTCAATCAACAAAAAGATGGGATCATGAAATCATCGCAGTCCTTCGGTTGATTTGGAAAGAAAGAGATCAATGCATTTGCAATAGGAAGCATTTGACAACAAATATTATCCATAGTAGATAAACCACTTGTTAAAAATAATAATTCTCAGTTAAGAGAGTGGAAAATTAAATAAACGCATCAACAATGCAAATGGAATTGCACTACATTTCCTTCTCAAACTAATAGAAACATGGCATAATAACTATATCTACCGAAAATAAAATTCTTGATAGGAACCTGATTATTCACAAACTAATAGAAGTCGATATGAAATGCATTTTCTGGATCCTGAGTAAGTATGCAGAACCAGTTGAAGTGATAGGAACCAGAGAAAAACACCACAAAGGATGCTGACTATACTTTATAACTGATTTCAAGAGAAATACACTAATTAGGCACTAATCATAATCTTAAATGTTCATCCAGAAAACGTAGAATCAAACATGATTAACTAATTAATTATTAAACATTTATTTCTTTTGTATCCACATTCTTTTGCAATTACATACATTATTAACTAATCAAACATGAAATCCTTTCAGCACCAAGATGACAATCACAAAAATCTCACCTTCGAGGAACTTGGAGACTGCCAGCGTGTAGAGCCTCCTCTTCCCTCTGCTCCTCCCTCATCTCCTCCACCGACAATACCCCATCCAAATCCCTAATCCCAAACAATCAAAATCACATCTTTTCAATCAAAAACCAATCTTTTCAAATAAAAGAGGGCAGAAATCAATGAAACATACAGATTAACAAGGAGATTTGGGTCAGGGTTATCGACAGTGTAAACGCGGTCAGCCTCCTCGGCCTGCTCGATGACGGCGTTGATGTCGGTGACGTCGGTGATGAACTCTAAAATGCGCCGCTGTTGCCTGATGGCTTTGCTCCGGTCCTTTGATTGCTGAATTAATTGGCTGGATTTTCTGGCGGGAGCGATGCGAAGGAGGTAACTCTAGCTGAAGAAATCAACGAGGAAGAAAAAAATCCGACGTGGCCAGAATTTTTGTCGATTTCACTCGGTTGGGGGAGGAAATGGGGGAGGGAAAGAAAACCGACGTGGAGGCGATTTGTTCTTCGGTTTTCTTCTTCAGCCCTTGCGAAACAAAGCGGGGAAAAAAAATCAGCGGAAACAAAATATCAGACGTGGAGGTGAAAAAACCGACGTGGAGGCAAAGTAAAAGTTTTCCATCGCATTTTAAAACGAACCAAACAGCCCCTAAAAGTAATCTCAAAGAAAAAAAAAAGAGAAGATGAGCATTTTTTGACAAAATGGATATAATTAATTAGAACCGCCGCGTGGCTTGACTAGAACATTAGAAAAGTCTTCAAAAAATAATTGGCAGATTCTCAAGAATACGCTTCCATGACTTTGACCTTTATATACATAGCTTAGCTTATCGGCTTAATTTGTACAAACGAATAAGGCTCACAAATAAAATAATAAAAAGGAAATAGAGAAATTAATAGATGATATCCCAATACGAGCAATAATTGTTTTCGCGTCGAAGTTTTATACTTGACGAATGGCAGCAAATATTTATATGTTAGTTGCAAATTTGCGATGAACCTTGGATTTCACACGGCTGATGTGTATGAACTTAAATTTTAGAGCTTTGCTACAAGGACCCAAAATATGGGACCAATAGGGGAACAAGTGAGGTGTCCCCCTCCTATTGGATAATGAGTTGGTCATCATTAATGATAGTCAACTCATTATCCAATAGGATGGTGACACATCATCTGTCCCCTCTATTGGTCCCATATTTTAGGTCATTGAGGAATTTTTTTAAATTTTATTTAAAATCATTGGTTTCCAAATAACACAACAAATCGCGTCTTTTCAATGCTTATAGTCTTTGTTGACATTTTTTTGCTGGGTTATACTTATAATTTTCTCTCGAGAGAGCTGAAATTATCCAAATAATATATCATGTTAAAAAAAATCAAACAAAGAAGAGTAAGATAAAAATCTTGTTAACAAATACATAAAACACATGAAGAAGAATAAACTTCAATTAAGAAATTGACACAGCCGCTGTTTTTAAACATTGATAATGGAATACATAAAAGAGCACATTTTCCTTCCTCTTCATGACAATTTTCTTTTGGAGAGTTTGAATATAGTAATAACCCTTTCCAAGCAAAAAAAAAAAAAAAAAAAACCATGAAATCCAAAAAAAAAAAAAAAAAAAAAAAACCATGAATATGAATGTGGCGACAGCAGGATCAGCTGAGTACGTGTTTCGTCGGTTGGGTTTTACGATTCAGAAAGGATTAGCGGCGTAGCTTGTTGCCCGCTTATCATCATCACATGTGTAATATTAATGGATTAATTAAAGAAATATTTTAACTAAAAAAAATTGTGGCTTTCCTTTTATTAATGAATTAACAAAGAAAATGGTGTATTTGTGAAAACGGCGAAGGAATTGTGAAAAACGTGAAGAATAACTCAAAACAGGCTCCACCACACCCTGGTGTGGTGCGAAGGAATTGTGAAAAACGTGAAGAATAACTCAAAACAGGCTCCACCACACCCTGGTGTGGTGTCTGCCATGGGTGTGGTAGAGTCTGTCCTGCACCACACCCTCTGCCACACCCACGGTGCAGGGTGTGGCAGAATCTGTCCTGCACCACTCCTGCACCACCCCCTCTGCCACACCCATGGTGCAGGGTGTGGCAGACTCGTTTTTAGAATCCTTATTTGTTGAGGAATCCTCCTTTGTTTGGGATTGTGTTTTATTATAAATAGGACCACGTTTTTTAGGGTTTCTTAAGGAGAGAAAAGAAGAGATTTAGCATTGTTTTGAGCACTTTGAGAGGGAGATATTGTGAGGGAGTTGAGAGCTTTGGTTAGGGTTATATTTGAGTGATTTTGTGAGTTGTAACCCGTTGTATTTCTCCTCCATATAGTGAAATCTCCCCATCCTCTCCCCGTGGACGTAGGCAATTGCCGAACCACGTATATCCTTGTGTTTGGTTTGATTTGTCGTAATTGGCTTGGTTTGTGCAAGTGTTTGGCTTTCTTCTACTCGTGATCACAGGTTCGTTGTGAGTTCGTGCAAGGCTTCCGCAAAGACGCGCGACAACCAAACACTATAAATTAAGTAGAATAAATATAATGGAATCTGGATATTATTCAAGATAATAATGATCAAACAAAACCAAGTTTCAAATTTCTCAAGTATGAAAAATATGAATGTCAAGAAAAAAATGCCAAATCTACTGTTAATTAGTAATAATAAGAAGATAAGAACATATATCTCAATGGGAAAAACTCCAGCAACTTTTAGAATGTCAGGCTAGACTTTGAATCCTCTTATTCATCAAATTACTTGCAAGGAACCTACTCAAAGGGCATGATCTCTAAGTGACATCCGCACAACAAGCTCTTGCTGCTCCACGAGCAGCGCCTTCTTCTTGTTTTCGGGAGAGCATATTTGATTCCTAAGACAGCTACTCAACCGGTTGGTATTGGGTCGCCGACGTCCTAGGTTCAAGTGCCGTCTATGGACTTTGTACCAAAAAAACATAGTATCCGGAGGTTTGCACCCGTGAATGCATACGACACGTGTCTGCATATATGTCTATATTTCTACGGACCAGCGCGCGAGTGTTTGAGGTCAGCTATAGATGAGTTGAAGATTCAGCTTTCGAATGAGTTTGAGATGAAGGACTTGGGCGAGGCGAAGCGCATTTTAGGGATGGAGATCGGCAGAGACAAGAAGAAGGGCAGAATTTGTTTGACACAGGTGGCTTATTTGAAGAAGGTTCTACAGCGATTCCATGTTAGCATGGATACGAAGCCAGTTAGTGTACCGTTGGGAGCCCATTTGAAGCTTTCAGCTGACCTTTCACCGAAGTCAGTTGAAGACCGTGAGTTGATGTCGAAGACTCCATATGCGAGCGCAGTTGGGAGCTTGATGTACGCGATGGTATGTACGAGGCCGGATTTGTCACAGGCAGTGAGCATGGTGTCGAGATACATGCACGATCCAGGAGTGGGTCATTGGGATGCCGTGAGATGGATTTTGAGGTACATTCTAGGTACGCTCAATGTTGGTTTGGTTTATGAGCGGGACACTACAGGTGGGCAGTTATGCATTGGCTATGTTGATTCGGATTATGCCGGGGATTTGGATAAGCGCCGATCTACAACGGGGTATGTGTTCACCTTGACCCGTGCGCCGGTGTGTTGGAGATGCACCTTACAGTCGACGGTGGCTTTGTCTACGACGGAGGCAGAGTATATGGCAGTTACGGAGGCTGTGAAGGAGGCTATTTGGCTTCGAGGACTTCTGGAAGAACTTGGTATATCGCAGCGATCCGTCACTATTCATTGTGATAGCATGAGTGCTATATATTTGGCGAAGAATCAGGTTTTTCATGCGAGGACGAAGCACATTGACGTTCGTTATCACTTCGTTCGAGATGTTCTTGAAGATGGCGATGTGGAGATTGTGAAGGTCCATACGAAGGATAATCCGGCGGATATGCTCACGAAGGTGGTTCCAAGCAACAAGTTTGATCATTGCAGAAACTTGTTGAATATTTGTGATTGTTGAGGCCGTTGGCGGCCATTTGGATGAACTACGGGCGGCTTGATCCCTTGGGAGAGGGGGTACGTAGGCAACCATGGTGGTGCAGCCGTATTTGGAGAGACGACACATTGATGCTCTTGGTTTGGTGTCGGCTCATTTTTGGCAAAATTCGCCGAGGTGGAGAATTGTGGAGAAATCAGGAAAAGAATCAGAAAAACCAGAAAAACTGGCATAAGTCGACTCATGCACTGTGCACGAGTCGACTTACGATCTGCAGCCGAATTGTGATTTTAGCCTCTGTCAAGTCGACTTAGCATGACTGTTAAGTCGACTTATGGCAAGTCGACTTAACAGTCTGTTAAGTCGACTTATGAAGTGTTCTCCAGTTGTTGATTTTCTCTCTGTCAAGTCGACTTGTGCACACTGATAAGTCGACTTATAGCGGGTTTTTTGCATACGCAGGTTTCCTATTTGCAGTCTGATTGGGGTTTTGTTTTGATATAAATAGGGAAACGATTTGTGAGGGTTTTTTATCAGAGATTGAGGAATCTTTTGAGCATTGTGAGAGGGAGATATTGTGAGCAAGGTGAGATCTTTGGTTGAGGGTTAGTTTGAGAGAATTTGTGTGATTGTAACCCTTTGTACTCTCCTTGATTTAGTGAAATCTCCCCATCCTCTCCCCGTGGACGTAGGCAAATTGCCGAACCACGTATATCTCTGTGTTTGGATTGATTTGGCTTTATTGGTTGGATTTGTGCAAGAGTTTGTCTTTCTTCTACTCGTGATCACAGGTTCGTTGTGAGTTCGTGCAAGGCTTCCGCAAAGGCGCGCGACAAGTGGTATCAGAGCTCAGATTCAGATCTAGGGTTTTGGATTAGGTGGAGGAAGATTCAGTTTGAAGCTTGGTTCTTGGAGTTCTAGGCTTTGGTGGAGTTAGGGTTTGAAGTTGCCGTTGAAGATCTCGCTTTCCTCGTGTGGTTAGGAGTTCTATTTGGAATCCAATCTAGGGTTCAGTTGGGTAATTTCTTATTCTTTCAAAGTTTGGATCTTTCTCTACAATTTGGAAGTTGTGATTATGGGTGAAGTAATTGGTGAAAGCAGCAAGATGACAGGCACAGTTCAAGTGGGTTTTCAGAACACTAAGATTAGTGTTGTGAAATATGACGGCAAGATCAATTTTGGTTTGTGGATGAGCGACGTACAGGATGCGCTCAATGCTCAAAATCTGGAGGAGACCATCATGGTCGATGTGAGGCCACCTAAATATGAAGAGGCGATATGGGAAAAGATGAATCGAAATGCTTGCGGGGTGATCAGGTCCTGTTTGGAACAGGAGCTGAAATACGATGTGATTGGGGTGACGTCTGCGATGAAGATGTGGGAAATTCTCAACAATAAGTACCTTACGAAGAGTGTTGAGAACCGGTTGCACTTGCTGCGAAGGTTATTCAGATTCCAGATGTCCAGAGGTACCTCGCTTGCGGCTCATGTGAACAACTACACTAAGTTGTTGTCGGACTTGGCGAACG